TGCTTTTATCTCAGCGGCTACCTTGTATTGATTATTTTGGACGTCTGTTTGTTCTCAAGCGTCGTGGTTTTTAAGGAAATATGGCTGCGTATTTACTTGTTTACAGACCCGAGCCGTGCACTAAGGGATAGCGGGCAGTCTCAATACAGATTCGTTCATCCTGCGTCTATTTAGATTCATCGGTAGACGAGGAAGACCTTCAGAGATTTATAGTGATAACGGATTAAATTTCGTGGGTGCCGTATCAGAACTAAAGGATAAATTTGAACACTGAGATTGACAAAAGATTAACTACCGTCTTGCATGTGATGGGATAAAGTGGTTCTTTAACTCTCCTTCCTCAACTCATAGAGGGGGTATGGGAGGGAATGATCCTCTCCGTGCGCAGGTTACTGCTTGTGTTGACGAAGGAGCAGTTAATGCATGAGGAAACGTTGTCAATTTGTTTTGTAGAAATCAAAAGGATATTGAATTGCCGACCGCTAGTGCCGTGCTTATCGGATGATAAAGAAAGAAGAGCACTGTCTCCGAACAGTTTATTGTTGTTGACGGAGAACGATCAAAACCTAGAAGGTATCACAATGATAGAGTTATTCAAGACGGTGGAGACAAGTCAATCATTTTGCTAATAACTTCTGGCTTTGATGGATGAGGGAGTATATACCAACACTGCAAGTGCGACAAAAGTGGCTTTCGAAGCATCGCAATTTCAAATCAGGCGACATCGTATTGATAGCAGCTGAAGCCACAAAACGTGGCGAATGGTCCATGGGCATCATCAATGCTGTGGAGACAGATGGAGATAGGCTTGTGCGAACGGCTGTGGTGCATACAGATGGCGGCAAGATAAGAAGAGATGTTCGTCATCTGTGTCTATTAGAAGGAGCCAACTAGCACCCAGGTGATAGGCTGGGGTGTGTGCAGGCGTACTGCTGTAAGTCCTGTGAACTCCATTGCTTCGGGATTGTAAGTAAGAAGGAGAATCCAGAACAGGAGTCGATCGGAGGTGACATTGTCTGCTCGGAGGAAATTTGGTGGCCGGTGTAAGAGTCAATAAGACTGAAAATTCTTCTCAATTCCCTTGCATTTCCTTATCTTTCTTCGCCATT